CTCTCTCACACTCATAACAATAAATGGAACAAAACTCTCTCTCTCTCTCTCTCTCTCTCTCTCTCTCTCTCTCTCTCTCTCTCTCTCTCGTGTTAGCACTTAGTCTCATTGATTTGGCTACCTTAGGGCTGCGTTCCCCGCGCCCACGCGGTAGACAATTATTATTTTTTTCTTAACTATATTCTTCTCTCGTCTATCTCATTTTTCTTGCTAGTACTCATCTATCTCATACCCGGTGGGCTGGGGAGAGATCCGGGTTGGTTGGTGTTGCCCCGAACCCACACCATTTCTATTTCTTGGAATGTTAAAAACTCAAGGACCGGCCTCCTATGGGCAGCTACTGGTCCTTCGCATGCACCTCCCCTTGCTAAGCCCCGAAACCTAAAAATGGCCACACTCCCGAGGACCACGGACGTTGAAATCTGAGTGACGTGGAAATGTCTCAGGGGGGGGAACGCAACCCTGACGGGCTGCGAAAGGGCTGCGAACGGGCTGCCAACACTCCCATATTCAGGCCTCGAGGAAACTCAACCCGCTAGTGCGCAGGGCCCTTTTTTGCACGTTTCGAATGGGTGCTCTTGGTGGGCTTCGCACAATTGTGTTGTGAAAGAAAAGGGGCGTGTTCGCAACCCCTGTGAAAGAAACCATTGAGGGCCATCATTTTTCCCTCCAGATACCCCTTTGTTGCCAGGAAGGGCGAACGGCGTGCCCTCCAGACAGCAACTGTTTCGATTTGGACTCGCTGAAGAACGTAGGGGTGTTCATTTGGCCGTGGGATGTACACGTGGCGTTGATGTACCAATGGTCGTGGCGCGCGTTATTATTCAATGCCAAATTGCCAGTCGTTCTCGCTCTCGTGCAGTGCTCCGAACCAGTCATCATTTCCGATCCCGTGCAAGGCTCCGGGAAGTGCTGCTGACGTGCATGGCCGTCGTTCACGGGAAAGTTGAACCTCCCGTTATGTTACGGAGGTACCAAGAAGAAGGCAGTGCTGACTCCGCCCGGAACCCTGGGTTAGGAGTTGGGGCAATCCTATCCTATCCAGGGTAGGCCGGGTGCAGTCGGTGAAAGTCCGACGAAACAGTCTGTCAGAGGGCCTTTTTGTTTTGATTTTGCTTTGGAGTTGGTGTGTTCAGCGGATGCGAAACGCAGTACCCACCACATAGAGATTAACCTGTCCATCGATCTATCGACATAGCTGCGGACCATCCTTGGGTCTCTGTGGAAGGCGACTCTTTCCTCCTGCGCAAACTGGAGTTGTAGAACAGAAAGAGAGCATCAATCATATGAGAAGAAACTCGATTGGTCACGGTGATCAACGAAGAAGATTGATGCAATCAGATCTGATAGCCAGTTGGCGGTCTGCCGGAGGAGGATTGATTGGATAAGCTGTCCAAGTGTCATCTTCGCGTGTTCCCTTGGCTATCTGGCGAGCAAGTCTGGGTCACATTTGATGTGACCGCTTTCATCTGGCGGGTAGTAGCGCGAGAGTGAGTAGGACCTTTTCTCTCTCTCTCTCCTTGCCCCTCTCTGTCTCTCTGTGTCCTCCTCTCGTTCCCTCTCTCTCTCGCGCTCTCTCTGTGTTTGGTTTTAACTTATCATAAGTCATCAGACCACTGTGTCCGCCGAGTGAAATCGCATGTCTCTGTATCCATGGCGGTTGATTGTACCGGCCTGATCTGTATGCACTCTCCACGGTCGTTGATCTATTCCTTTTGCCGATGTGAGCGCTTACTCCCCGACTTTGGACGTTTTGCTGGATGATCTGTCTTACCACTCATTGCTGGGATCGAGGCGGTGGCCTACGATGCTTCTCTTCCCTTCCCCCCCCCCCCCAAAGGGGAAAAAAGTTATCTGCTACCGTCCTCCGTGTCATCTCTCCTCGTTTCGGTTGGTCAGACTCTTCCTCTTGGGTGCCAGTCCCCTTGTCGTCCTCCTCTCCTGACTCGAGTTCCTGTCAATCCTGTTGCTACATTGCTGCCATTCCCGTTGTCCTCACCCCTTTCTGACTCGAGTTGCACGGTGTTGTCGACGTAGACCGTGTCTCCGGAAGAGGATTTTTGTTTGTGTTAGGGCGTGTTTAGACGACGGGGGCCAATAGCCATTCGTGATCACGGCGTGATAAGCAGTCAGCGATTAATCAATCAATCAAGTATCGTTCAATCTATTAATCAATCAATGATCAATCATCGACCAATCAATCAATCAATCAATCAATCAATCAATCATCGAACCAACTAATCGACCAATCAATCAATCAATCAATCATCGAACCAACTAATCGATCAATCATCGACCAATCAATCAATCAATCAATCATCGACCAACCAATCAATCAATCATCGACCAACCAACCAACCAACCAATCAATCAATCAATCAATCAAATGAGTGAATGAATGAATGAATGAATGAATGAATGAATGAATGAATGAACCTATCAATCAATCGCGATGATGAATTACCTTGACGAACTCCGTCCGGGCACACTGCGCGCAATGCAGTTCATTTGTCTCTCCTTCAATGAGGATGGTTGAATTCTGATTAACTACATTTAGGAGCCATGAATGTCGATGCGACTGACGATCTCGTACGCGACGACGTACTTTTGCGGGGGGGGGGGGGGGGCGCGCGCGGAAACCACAGGGGCGCAAGCATCCTTCAACCATTGGCGCACTGGATTGATTCATCAGTCTCTCGATGCGTGATTAGACGTTTAATCCATCAACACCGATGCTACCGATGATCGCAAACAGAACGTGCTTTTTGCGCGGGGCGTGGACATGAGAGGGGCGCCATCCGTGAACCGTCGGTGCACTGGATTGATTGATTGCTGACGTCTGTTGATCATCGCGCAGAGGCTACGTTGGAATCGCCGCATCTGATCTGTGACGTGTTTGAAACGTAGCCGCCTCGATCTGACGTTTGCTAATTGGTTTGCCGACTCACAAGGGAACATACCGCTGATAGACGAGTCATCAACGGAGACGAGAGGACGAGGAAAAAAAAGAGACCAAAAAAATAAACACTGCATGTACTTCGTATGTTTGCTGCCTGCCGCGCACAGCGGCGGGCTTCCCCCCATTCTCCACGGTCGCCTCCTTTTCACGGCGAGCTCGCCCTCCTATTCTCTTGAAAGGGGCGCGCTCAGCTTTCTTCCCTCCCCCCCCCCAGTGCTCCTTGACGGCCTTCCGTCCTTTGGAGGTCGAGCACCCCACTCTCGTAGAAGAGATCTCGCCCTAGAGAGGGGGAAGCTCGCCCCCATTTACCTACGCATTCCACGAGAATAGCCGTGCCCCGCCCAACCGCTCCCGCTTTGTGTTCGTCAAGTATGCATTCTGTCTCTGCCCATTTTGGCCCCTTGAGCGCCTTCAGCTTCCTCGTCACCTTTGCGAGCTCAATCCTTCCGCGGCCCCTGCCCCGCCCCCACTGCTTGAAAATGGAAAGATACGCTCGCCCCAGCTTTTGTCTTTTTCACGGGTGATTCCGAGATGTCCGCATGGCTGCACTGCGGGCTTCGCCACGTCCGCATGRCTGCACTTCGGGCCTCGCCGCAGCACTCACCCCACGTGAAAAAGACAAAAAGCTGGGGCGAGGGTATTTTCCCACTTCCAAGCAGCGAATATACGCTCCATTTTGCACAATTGGTCAGTGGTGCGGCAATGCACTTTATGCCTGGTGGCTCGGCCAAAAACTGCTTCAAGATGTATATCCTATTTCGAATCTCGAAGAATCCTGTATTACTAATCTCAAAGAATCTTCTATTACTAATCTCAAAGAATCTAATATTACTAGTCTTAAAAAATCTTGTATTACTATCTGGCCAGTGCTTGTATACTTGGGGCCATCAGAAAAAGAACTACTTTAGAGAAAGTTTCTATATCTCAGCAATTTTTCTCGTCTTTTATGTTGTACCCAATTCACTGCTTCTGTGGTTGTTTGAATAGGGAACTTCTGTACATTCATTCACTTCAGTCAATGAATAACTGTCTTGAGGCATTCCAGCTTTGGCTGAGCTTTGGCTGGAATCAATTTCGACAGGCTCGTCAGAGTTCAATTTGAACTGTTAGAGCAAGTTCTATTCGTCGAAATCTGACATGGGAACCTATTTACCAGGTTAGTAAGTTTATTACTATACTCAGCGAAATCTGACATCGGGTGCTCGCAGCTTACTATCGGATACCAACCGACATGCAAAGTGGCTTATTTAGTCTGCCGTGTTTACGATTTTCATTTTGGGGTAACTTAAGTTGAGTCACAAAAGCGAGTTATAACTGCACTATGGGGCAAGATACAGTTTGAGATTGCACTTCGGGCACCCAACCTGGCCCCAAAGGTGGGTTGTATACGTTGCCCGAACTGCAATTCGAAACTGTATCTTGGCCCGTAGTGCAATTATAACTCGATTTTGTGACTCCCGCATACTTTCCCCTTTCATTTGTAATTGCGCACTATCGGACTTGAACGGGTAGCCCGTAGGAACAGATTTTCAGTCTGTCGTCGTGTTTACCATTTTCACTAATTGAGCTTGATCTCAAGCGAAACGTACAACAGCACATGCAGCGCGCAGGGATGTTAAGGACTGTTGGCAGGTTACTATATTCCCCCTCCCCCGCCCTGGCCAATCTGCTCCGCTCCTCCTCATTCTTTAAAACAGTGCAACCAAATAGAAAAAACAAAATTCGACATATTCAGCACATATACCCATGTTAGAAAACTGGCTGTGGTCTCTTCAAAAAGTCCCACAGACACACACACAGAGACATTCTTTGCCCTGCTTTGTAGCATGGGCTGTCTTGTCGATGTCTGTGGGTGGCCACCAGTTTTGTCTGGGGTGGGAGTTTGGGGTTTTGGCCACAATATCTCTGTGAGGAGGCTCAGAGAGTGTTTGCTGTGGGTGTCATTCCCGCGGAATGCTCTTTCGGAGCACATGGAAGAATGGGGTGCCTTCTAGGGTGTTTTAAGCAGTAGCACTCCTGGTGTCACGTGGAGATCTTGTGGAAATTGATGTAGTTCTCGCAGTGGCCTCGCTGTAGCACTAGGACATCATCTGATTCTGCAGGTTGCAGCAGGGGCAGGTTCATGGCACTCTTGGTGTTGCGTACAGGTCCTGCGGTGTATTTTTGATTTGTGGTGGCTCTGTAGGTCGACGCAGAGGGCTGTACAATTCTTTTTTAGACCATTGGCATGTGTGGTCGGTGTTTTTTTTGTTAGTGGAGCCTTTTGTGTGGGCCCACGTGCAGGGCTCTCCAAATTTTCTCAGCGCATGTATCAACACATGACTTCCCTGCTGATTGTCCGCACCGACGCATTCATTGTCATTATTTTGCTTGCGTCACTCGGTCGGAGGTTCCAGCATATAGCCAGATTTTGTCTTTGATGCTGAAGAAAATACCCCTTTGTCGAGGAATTTCGCTTGTTCAAGTCCGCATGGCCCTTATGGGCTGGGCTACACACGTGCTACAATGGCAATGACAATAGGAAGCAAGGCTTTAAGGCGGAGCGAATCCTGAAACATTGCCTCAGTTCGGATTGTTCTCTGCAACTCGAGAACATGAAGTTGGAATCGCTAGTAATCGCGGATCAGCATGCCGCGGTGAATATGTACTCAGGCCTTGTACACACTGCCCGTCACACCATGGGAATTTCTTTTGCCCGAAATCGTCGCCGGGGGGGTTGGTGTCGGCACAACTTTATGAACGGGCTCTTTTTTCGCTAAGCTTTTGTCGGCCATGTTCAACCAGGTAGTGAATATTTCCATGTTCTAGCCGAAGATTCATTGGATGTTGCTCATCCTATCGATGGAAGTAGCATGGCGCAAGCTGCGAGGTCGGAGAGTTATCGTCTCTCTCTTTCTCTCTCTCTCTCTCTCACACACACACACACACACACACACACACACACACACACACATCCAATGATAGCAATCTCTCAGAAGGTACTACCTGCCTGTAGAGGACCGGGGGAAGTATTTGATGTGATAGGAGATGCACAGATGGTTCGTCCTATGTTGTCAACATACCTGCCCACCTACATGTCTCCTGTGTTCCACGCATCCAAGTTGCTTCCTTGTGTCACAGACAAACTCCTTTCCATCACGAAGACCAATGACTCCCCCCTGATATGGATGGTTGTTAAGGTGCAATGAATTGCAGTGCTACAAGCGGGCTGTACAGTAATTTCGCCCCTGTGGTTGTTGGCGGGACTTGATCCCACAACCTTTGCTCTGTTTGTCTTGTTTGTGAGTGTTGAGCTGTATGGGACTTGATCCCTGAGTCAGCTACTAGTAGTCTCTGTTTGTTAGTCTTAGGCCATTCGGCCTATGCCTTTCGCTTTGTGATAGGTGTAGGTCCCCTTTTCCCGTTTCCATCTAGATACAAGTGAGTCTTGGGTTGTTGCTTGGTCAGTCCTTCGTAGGTCTAGGCAGAGGGTAGAAGTAGCGGGCAGGAAATTTGGGTCGGGTCTTTTCTTGACATTTTTGCTGGGGAAAAGCTGCCCGTTCGTGGCCGAAGTGTTGCTGCGTTATTTTGGGCGAGGACATCTTCTTCCTCGAAACCCAGCCATAGCTGGGGCTGGGACACAAAGTTGGAGATAGCACTGCTGCTATCAGCAGCTCTGCGCAAGAGCTTCACCAGGACTGTGTTGTTTGGGTTTGGGCGCTGCCTTGTCACACTTGGCAGCCATATTTGCTGTTCCTCCTCGAGAGTAGAACTTCGTTTTTGTCTTCTTCGAAGTACTGGGTTGGTTGTCTCCTTCTTCATCAGGACTTCCAACGCTGCACTGCTGTGCAGGCGCTGAGCTGGCACTGCTATTATTGGGGTTGCTGGTTCAGACTGGCAGGTTGTGACAGCTGTGGGGTTACTGCTGCTACGGCAGCCATAGCCAGGGGTATGAGGTGGCGAGGAGGAGGAAGAAGACTCCTGCAGCCTTCGTTGAACACTTGTTTTTGATTGTTCGGGGTTGTTGTAAACGCGGTTGTGATTCTTGGAACAAGTACTTTGGATTGATTGGAGGAGGACGGGGGATTGCAGAATTGGAATTCGTTTTTCAATTCCCTGTGTATTTCGAGCTTCCGCTGTGCATATCTTCTCTCCGTTTTTGTGTGGATTTGCCTCCTTCGAGTCTACTCTGCAATTGCATGTGTGTATGGGAACGTGTGAATTTGTTGTGGATTGAAGTTCAATCGGGTACATAACAAAGGGAAAGACCGCAGCCACGGTATAAAGACCTGTTCCATTATCCCGTTCGGTCCTCTTAGCATAACATCCCTTACACTCCTGAAAAAAATAGCGGTCCTCGCGTGATGCTGCCCCCAGGCCCACCAGAAATCGCAGGAGGACCGCAAGAACCGCAGGCGGATTTGTCGCTTCCCTTTGTTGTCACTAGAGTTGGTGTGGGCGTTTCTTGTTGATCCTAAGTTAGTTCTTTTTTATCCCCTAATAATCTGGTCCATTTCTCGATGTAGTTTCCTGAAGTTAGTTTCACATCGAGGAAAGTGCATGTATGCAAAACATGATTGTGGCTAATTCCCTTTGAGAAAACCTTGGGTTTGAAGGAACCTGAGGATGACAGATGGTAGACCATGAATGAGTTATGCGAACCAGCCCCTGGCATTGCCTTGCACTGCGAAAGGGCTCAGGGAGTCATATGGATTGCAGACAGGTGGGAAAGGTCATATCGTTCTTGATGGACCTTGGAATTAGGCCGGCGGGAGCTAAAAGATCTCACATGGTTCGCCTATAAGTCACAGGCCGGGTCCCAGAATTCCCAAGCCCTGTGTCCTAAGTAAGATAACCCAGCTGGTAGACCGTAGGTCGAAGCACTCTGTAGGGTCCAGTCGTGTGTAGAAGGCTCCGGTAGGTCGTAGGAACTCAAGTCCCCGACAAAAAACGTCTCCAGTCCCAAAAGTAGCAGCAGCATCCAACAGAAGTCCAGAATCATCCGGTACCAACAAGACAATTGCGGCCTATAGGCCAGGGAGCATTACCGGTCTGGAGCAACCGAAGATTGTTAACTGCAGCAGTACAAAAGGCAGCTGCAGTGGCAAAAGGAAACATTGGAATGGTTGTCGAAGTGCTGCTGTATGCTTGTGTGCCTTGCATCAAGTGCCACATGTCGGAGATGCTAGAGTAGTCAACGGTGAGGGCACCATAGCTAGGACCTAGGTGAGAGAGAGAGAGAGAGAGAGAGAGAGAGAGAGAGAGAGAGAGAGAGAGAGAGAGAGAGAGAGAGAGAGAGAGAGAAGAGGTTGAGGAACCATTTAGAGAGGTGAACAATTCATGTGTGTGTGTGTGTGTGTGTGTGTGTGTGTGTGTGTGTGTGTGTGTGTGTGTG